TTGGAGACCTGCAGGGGCTCAGTGCGTGCTGCTGGGAAACCAGCGCGCGTTGGGTGTTGATGCTGGTGTGTGTTTTCTTTCAGGGAAGATCGTGACTATCTGAAAAGTGCAAGAAAAAACTCCCCCCCCCCCCCCCCCCCCGGCATCTAAGCAAGCCAGCGCAGGGAGAGGCAGGAAGGCGTCTCTTCTGACAGGTTGGTTTAGCAAAAATGTTGCTCGTAGAATGTGGTCTTATGAACAATAGTGTTAATCCTATGGTGCTTGGCAGCGAGTAAAAAGCACAAAACAGTCCCTGGGCTGAATCGTAATGTCTTTTTACTGACCTCTAACTGTTTTAGCACTGCTTGCTGCCAGAGACACATGCATGGGCTGTGTCTAGACTGGCATGATTTTGTGCAAATATTTTTAATGGAAAAGTTTTTGTGCAAGAGGACATCTATGCTGGCATGTGCCTTTGCGCAAAAGATTTGCTTTTGCGCCAAAGCATGTGTGCCAGTGTAGATGCTCTCTTGCGCAAGAAAGCTCCTATGGCCATTTTAGCCATAGGACTTTCTAGCGCAAGTAATTAACACTGGCCCTCTTGCTCAAGAATACTTGCGCAAGAGGGCTTATCCCTGAGCGGGAGCATCGGAGTATTTCCGCAAGTGCCACTGATTTTGTACATTACAAAGTCAGTGTTGTTGCGCAAATACTCGCAGCCAGTGTAGGCAGACGGCAAGATTTTGCGCAAAATCATGTCAGTCTAGATGCAGCCATGCTGCTTAGGTAGTGCCATGTGGCTCTCAGGCACCTGTCCCTACTTGGTGGCGGTCACCTATTCACTTTATACCTGCGATGATGTTACGTTGCTGGCAGAACATTTGCTCATAAAATGTGTGTCAGAAAAGTTGTATTAATTTTGACTTATAACAGTTTTTGTGGCATGTAGCATTCTTTAACTGCTGTCAAGTCAGTGGTATTAAGTCTAGTAGTAATTCTCTTGAATTAACAGTTGCCCACAGTTGCCTTACTTCCCCAAAACCCACTTAATCCTCTGGAACCTGATTTTTTAAACATTTGGGCCTGGCTAACAGATACCATGACAGTGAGCTTGTTTGAGTGTACAAAGGACCTGCTAGAGCCATAACTTAGAACTGTGACGTATGTATTTGTATAATGGTTGGGCCAAAGAATTTCAGTCAAGGATAAAACCCCATTGTATTAAGCACCATGCAGATAAGTAATAAAGAAAACTGATCTTGCACCAGATAGTTTAAAGTCTACATGTCAGGATGCAACTGATAATAACATGGATCCTACTTAGGTGGCAAGAAGGAGATACAACATCAGTCTCAACACTTGCCCAGCAGACATGATCGCTTATGATTTTATGACCTGGCTGCCCACGTTAGCCCTTTTAGCATGGGAGTGTGGAAGTTCTTTGTTCCTGTTTTATTTCAAAGGCCCCACATCAATTCTTTGGAGCCAATGAACTTTTCTATGTGAATTGGGCTTCTGAACTGAATTGTGACTATAGTGTGTGTGTGTGGTGTTATCACTAGACTGTTAGCCCAGCTGGGTTGGTTTGTCCTTTCTAAAGCTGGGTTATTAAATTCCATCTTAAAAAACAAAATATCCAGTTACATGTAAAGTTAGGGTGGAATTCTCTGTGTAACTCTGTTCTTCAGCTGGTTTCAGATCAATGGCTGAACTACACAAGACTGCATTTCTGTAAATTATTCCATGTAGCATCTCTGTGTGTGGGTAAACGCCATTTAATAATTACATTGTGGTGGAGGGCTCACAGAAGATGGAATTTGTAATCGGGAAACTGCCTTATCTTTTTCTACAGTTCAAACACCAGCTGTTCAATATTGGTTTAAAAAGTATCTTAAAACTCAAGGTTTGTTGTGCTGTATGTCTTCTGCTCTGTTTAGGCTACCATAATTGGTCTGCAGCTCATGCATTCAGAAGGGGAACAATGTAAACCAAGAGTCACATCAGGGAAGCAAAGAGCTTCTCTACAAAATGAAGACTTGACAGGTAACTCTTCCTTATTTGGCACTGGGGAGATCTAATGAGTCTTACAAAATATGGGAGCAGCCAATTACACACATGCAGCTGTGTCTTAAGAAGAAAACTGTTCTTATTTCACCCTGAGGAGAAATGTCTTCTATTTACTGAGTAGGGAATGTTAACATTTCGATTAAATCAACTAATCGAGTAATCGATGGAAGTTCCATTGACTACTCAATTAGTCGATAAGGGGGGTGCTCCCTCAATAAGGGGGGTGCTCCCTATCTCCCTGTTCCTCTGCCTTTGAAATATACAAGAGCTGTGGATGGCTCTTGTACATTTCAAAGGACGGCTCTTGTACATTTCAGAGGGAGAGGTATAGCAGTAGGGATGCCTCTGCCTTTCCTGCAGAAAAGGTGCTGGGGGTGGGGGGGGAGAGTAGAGGGCAGTGGCTTTTAAGCCAGCTCCTCTCCCCAGTACCAGCTCCTCCCACTGTTTCTCTCTGATAGAGGCAGCAAGGTGGGGGGGAAGTGTTTAGTTGAGTGATTACTCAACTATCCAATAAGCTTATGCTTATCAGGTAGTTGATGAATAGCTGACATCCCTAGTGCTTAGCTCTGTAGATGTGAAACAATATTTAATGCTGTTAAGGCACGGGGAAAGGATAAACTTTTGAAACTTCCTGGTGTAAATCCTTCTGAGCCACAAACAGGGATGGGCAATTTTAATATTTGAGTTGTCATATTCAGAATTCTCGGCCTCTGCTATATTTGAATGGGGTCAGCATGCATGCCTGCTAGGATAGCACTTCCAGTCTGGGAGTGCTAACCCTGGCTCCTTTAGCTCAGCCTAGTTTGTAGCGGATAGCTAGAGAAAATGCTTTTCAGTGAGGCAGGACCCAAATGCGGGGACTAAAGAGATGCCTATTTGGAGGTAATTCTCTTATACACATTCCAAATCATGGAAGGTCTGTTTATTTCATCCAGCAGTTGTCAGCTGCCCAGTGCAGTTCTGTGCCTGTGCTAGTGTTACACTGCTGGGAGAGAAATGTGCCATCATAGTTACCTGGTGCTTCTGGTACTGTTCTGGTGCCCTCAGTGCCAGGTTTTGATAGCACGTTGCATCCTTGAGAGTGGAATAACTTTCTGTAGAGTTAAGTCCTAGTCTGGATGCAAACACAATCATTTTCCTGCAGTACTGTAATATAAAATGTGTCTGTGAATGTTCCCCACCCCCAACCTCCTGTCTGAAAATGAGATATGATGGTGTTAATTGGCAATTTTTTGATAGAAATGCAGACAATTGTCACCTCACTACTTTTTTTCCTGTTAAAGATGGATCTTTAGGGCTCCACTTGCTGACTTATGTGGGGTTTTTTTCTAGTTACAGATAAAAGCCACGTTGAGCATTCAAGAGTGAGCCCAAATGGGAGCAGCAGTAGGTCTCTGAAAAGAAGAGGAACCTGTTGCTGTTGCCGTAAAGAGTGACTGTCAAGATGTTTAGAGAGGTGGGAGTGAGCATGTGAGTAGTCTCGTAACTCAAATGGGACTTCCCGTGAAGAAGTTTTTGCACAGTAGGAGCCTAGTAAGATAAACATGAAAAGCGGGAAGGATGACATGGATTGCTAGTTTCCTCTTACCCTTTTTATTAAAATATTATTTAAAAATGAATACGAGGCTTTTCCATTTTTTCTTTATTTCAAATGCTTATGTTTAACACTGCCTGCTTATCCTGTTGAAATGAGTCCTTTAATCTTGAAAATCCATAGTTTGGCTGCTTCGTGACCCACTGACCACTTCTGCCCTTCTGAAGGGAGGCGGATGTTCTGTGGTGGCTGTACCCCATGAAGGGATGAAAGTCAGTCCCAGATCCTCCCAGATGACAGGGGTTCCTTAATCTGCCCCTAGCTTTAATAGCCGTAGTCCTTATGCTGACTGATACACTATTTGAACTTATTTATGGGGTTGATAGTTGCTCTAGCATGATTTAGAAGCCACTAGAGGCTGAAGCTTCTATTGATCTTTGTTTTTTCTTTTTTTTCTTTTTTTATGAACTAGAACTCTCCATTCTAAAATACCTTCCCTTATATGAACATTGAGTGGTTAAGTATTCAAAAACTTCAGAGGGATAACCAAGTTAGTCTGTAACTGGAAAAACTTACACAACAAATAGTCTAGTAGCACCTTAAAACTAACACAAAGCTCATGATACCATCTACATGTTTTGTTAGTCTTTAAGGTGCTGCTACTAGACTATTCATTGTTGGTTAAGGATTATTTTGGGAAATGTCAAGGCTGGCACCTGCATTCTCATATGTATGTTTAGTTTTGATTCTACACTACATTATTTCCCCCCACCCTAGAGATGTATGTTGCATTATACACTACTTTGTGTACAAATTTACCAGTCCAGGGGAGGCACTGAGATAAAGCATTTAGTGTAGAAGAAATAACCTTTGTGCAAATTAGAGTTGTTAAAATGTGTTTATTTAGGTAAATGTGTAATGGTTAACCACTAAAGTTGTTAGATGATTACACGTGGGCGAAGGGATGCTGTGTGTAATTGCATGTTTACATTTTTACATCATTTGTGCAAACGTGCTGGTAGTGACAAGAATTTTAAATTACAATATTTCATGCTTTTCAGGGTTACAGCACTAAATAGTGTGCCATTTGATGTAAAAAATCCACAATTCAAATACTTTACACCTACAAACACACAGTTAGGTCAATTTTCTCTTATCCATTGGAAACGTATTTGACTCAATACTCTACAAATTATATACATAGAAATATTCACTGTCAAAAGCAGTATTGAAAAGAAGTTGTCTACTTATTCAGATGCTGACTTCTGAAAGATGAATATAGTTTGCAAGTCATGAAAAATACAGAATAGTTATACTATTCCATAAAAGATACATTGCACAAGGAAGCATGTGATACATGGACAATTAATACACTTTGGTAGGTATTATACAACTTTAAAATATTCCCATCCTGTCAGTTGAATACAATTCACAGAATCAACCACATGGCTGTTCCACCTCTGAGACACAGCAAGAAAAAACTGGGGAGGGTTATTGGTGATGTCATTCTCGCTGTTCCTTTCAGTGTCAAGGTGGATGATGCTTTTCCTAGTCCACTTGCTCCCATTGCTGACCAAGGTCTCAGATGGGGGAGTGAAGATCTTCTTCCAGGCCTGGAAGATATCAACATTTTTAGCTCCTGCTTCTCCACAAGGCTGAGAAAAGGGAGTATTACACACCATCCTCTGTAGATGTAGTCCTCATACCGGATTAGATAAGGGGTGGAGAAACCTCAGGCTTGTGGGCCAGATGTGGCCCCCTGCTTGCTAGGATCTGGCCCCCAAGACCCAGGAACTCCTCCCTCTCAGCATTGGGGAGCCTGTACTGGTGCTCCAACCATCTTGTCCCCACTCTCCCACCATGGGGCTAGATCGTCCCCATAGGTTCTGATATGTGAGGGTAATGAGGGGAGTGTCTTCTCAGTTGGGAGCCATTTCAGTGAGGGCTTTTTTTTTTTTTTTTTTTTTTTTTCTTTCTCACATGTGGTCCCCCAACCCAAAAAGGTTCTCCATGCTGCCTATCATCTAATGATTAGATGGTAGGCTAAAATCTTTCAAACAATTGAAGAGATTCCCTAGAGAAATTAAGGAATCTTGGTGCTGACTGGGACAAGACATTAGGATATTAGCGCTGTATAGATTGCTGTATGGTGCAAATGTGATCAATAAAACCCACAGACTTACATTAGTGCCCGGATGGAAGGGGTCACACCATAGATTTGGAAATAGGCAATCTAACATGAAGTGAGTGGTGAATTTAAACAGGAGGCATTTTCTCCCCCAAAAACTCAAAATTCAGATATGACTATTCCACATTGAAGAATGCATTCAGCCCTCCCCTTTGCAAAACAAATCACTCATAAACTTTGCAGACATTGATTCCTCGGACTATTTTAATTGGAGCAAAATGTATTGATTCTGAAACTTCGGCAACTTGAAAAATGACAGTATAATATCTACAATTAATTTTTTTTTGTTTTTGGTCTCAGCCTTCAGCTTCACACAGAGAAATGGAAGTATAATGCAATTCTGCCTTTAGGTGACTGCAAGGGGGCGTCACCACTCTAGACAAAAGTGGAAATGATTACATACAAAAGTCAGCATTTTGGTCTTTTTCGATCTACACCAAAGGCCAGATTGCCTGAAGGGTATCTGATTTTGTAGTCTGCACACAATCTGATCCAAGGCCAGGTAGCAAGCACCTAGCAAGGGAATGAGCAGGCCTCTATCACCTCAGGCTTCTATCTAGTTGCACAGCCATGTCTACACTCTCAGCTTCTTGTGCAATAAATATGCAAATGAGGCTAAGCATGGAATATTGCTGAGCCTCATTTGCAAACCTAATGAGCTGCCATTTTTGCATAATGTCATTGCACAAGAAGGTTTTTCTTGCATAAGAAGGGGAAGTGTAGACAGCTCCTAGCGCAGGAGCCTCTTCTGCAAAAATGGTGGCTTGAGTATGCAAATGAGGCTTGGCAATATTCCTGGCTTACCCTCATTTACATATTTCTTGCACAAGAAGCCGCAAGTGTAGATGCAACCCCACTGTTTTCAAAAGTGCAGGGCTGTCACTGGGATTCAGCACTAGGTGCTAGAAGAGAGGTGTGCTGTGATATGCTAGGGCAAGGCAAATCTAGGCATGTTACTGAGCTCCCTGCTGCTCTGACAGGCTTGTACCCCAATGAGTGGGACTGAGCCTGCAAGGGCAGACTGACTGGAATGGGAATGCCACTAGTGCTGGTGTGGGGCCCGGTGGGGGGGAGAGGAGAGCGGGCTTGGCGTAGGTCCATGCTAACCAGCTCGAGGCCACGGTAGTGGCTACTGCTACACCAAGTAGCCACGCTGCGCTGGCCACGGAGCCACGTGGCTGGGGGTTGGTGTGTCGGACACCAGGGCTGCAGCCCTTGCTGATGAGGGGGTGTGATGTGGGGGGAGGGGGCAGGAGCTTGTGGCAAGCCACACTGATGGCGACCCGTGGGGGGGGCTGTGTGCTGTGACGGCCAGGGCGCCCCCCCCCCCCGGCCACGTGGGCGCGCTGGTGGCGGACAGGCCCGTGGGACACTGGGCACACTGCCCTAGCGCAACGCGCCTCGTTCTGGAAGGCGCGCGTACGGTCCGAGGCAACCGGACTCGCTCTCGCGAGAGTTCTGTGGGAAACCAGGCGCTGTGGCGTGGCCGCGGTATGCGCGGGAGAATAAAGGCCTCCAGCAGGTCACAGAGTGCGAGCGAGAGTCTCGCGACATTTCAGAGGCAGCCATCAAGGCAGTGGGAATTCGACAACTCGGAGGCGACCGAGAGGGTGTGCG